TAGAGAACGTACCATTGGAAGAACAAGAATCAATGTGGTTTATGTTAGATGGTGCACCTTCTCATTATACAAATGCAGTCCGATAACAATTGCATTAATTTTTCCCTGAAAAACTTATTTAGGTAGAGGAGCTGGAAACAATACTCAATATAGCCCAGACATAACATGGCCATCACGCAGTCCTAATTTTAACCCATGTGACTTTTTCTTATGGGGTTTTATGAAAGAACAAGTTTATGCCAATGAAGTAAATAATAAAGATGAACTTTTGATAAGAATTAATAATGTAGTATCATTCGTCAAACACCAAATGTATTAGAAAAAACTTGATGTTCTTACATTGTCGTTTGGAAAAGCGCATTGACGTTAACAGGGGTCACATTGAATAACTTTTGTAAATAAAAATTGATTTTAAAATTAAAATGTATTTAATTATGATTTTTTTATAATGTTAAAGCTGTTTTAATTACTTATGTGTGTTAATCGACTAAAAACTACTATCACCACTGTTTATCTTGAAGTGCTTTCATACGAATCGATGTGTTACACGACTTTTTTTTAATCGGCGACTCGAGCGTGAAAAACGCGCGACAAGCCCACAATCGGTGTGACGTCTCGATTCGTATGAGAATTTTTGCAAAAAATACAACTAAAGTGTTTATTTTTACATTTAAGTTAATGTCCTAAAAATAAATTGAATAAACCAAGATTTTGGAGATTGAAAAAAATTGAAAAAAAATCTACTTTGGGCCATCACAGCGAGTACACGTATACTAGTGTCCTCACCAATTCCAGAAAAACCCTGTATATAATAATATTTTATATTGTGTAATAAGTAGTTATATACATTTTATTTGTGTATACACTGTATTACGAAATATGTAATATTTGTTTACTGTAAGTAAAATTAGGCCCTTCTAGATTATAATGAAACAAATCCGACTGCCAACTGGTGTTTTTATTTGGAAGAGGGGTGTGCAGGGGCGTATTTAGACTAACTTATAGGGGGAGGGGGCGACTCAAATTTTTTCTTTAATTCAGGCTCAAAATTTACAAGTAAAATTTTTGGTAGTATTCATATCAGGTGAATCCTTAATATTTATGGTTTTTTTTTTTTTTTTTTTTTAATCTAATGCCGAATCCACTTAGATTGGTCTTCTGTGTAGTTCTTTTTTAACACCTATCTGTGTTTTGAAAGTTTCGCTTATATTTTATCTAATTTTTCACTAAGTATGGACTGGGTCTTCAATCAAAATAATATATATTATTTATCTTTATGGGATATATAAACGTTATAAGCAATTGAGCGTTTAACGCTATAAATAATTTAAACGTTTAAAAAATTTTTCGTTTACCGTTATTGACAATTAAAACGTTATGAAAAATTTAGCGTTTTGCGTTATTTAAATTAGTGTAAAATTTGAAACGTTTTCAAATGTATCATCAGTGACATATTTGAGAGTTCATCTGGGGAGGGGGGACGATTTTAAAAATAATGTACCAAACCGGCAACCACTCACATAAACTTAACCTAGACATATAAATTTTATATTGCACCTATATAATATTAGCCTATATTTTATAACCTATAAAGTAATAAATTACTAATATGATAAAAAAAAAACAACATATTTACAAAACAAAATCTAGATTTCTATTTTTTGTAGTTGCAGACGGAGTAACAATTGTCTCAATTATTTTTTTTTTTTGTTTATGTGTCAGTATTATTAATGTAGTCTTCATTTTTACGTTTTAACCACTAGTTCATTAAATTAGACATATTATCAAGTTGAGATACAAATAATGATCAACATAAAAGCAATACTTAATAATGAACTAGGTACTATTAATTATTATAAAATTATAATATAACATATCAACTACAGTAGTCACTCGATAATTCGAAAAACTCCATAAATCGAACTAAATCCTTAGTCCCCTGAGAAAACCTCTATAATTAGAAGAAAATACATGTATTCCAGTTTCCTCGATAATTCGAAATGTCTGTTGGTTGGATTCACTCTACAATTTGAATTTTTTTTTCCAGAACCTCTATTATTCGAATTTGGTTTAACGTGGTTATACGTATGTTCATATGTATAAATTATATTCATATGTACATCTATTTGACGTACTCGAAATGAAATTAATAACGACGGTAATTAAATATTATCGTAGTTTATAAATTTTATCATACTTTACCTACCTAATCTAGACTTTAATCGTATCATTTTACCAACTTTATGTCAAGATTGCGAACATTTTTCGAGCATTATGAAATGGACGAAAAAGGATGCGATACAGTTAGATAACGTTATGGATCAGACTGTGGCCAACAATTTAACACAATAAAAAGAACAGATTTCTTTAAAATATAAAATATTTATAATATAATATAATATAATAAATAAATGCCACTTAATAAATGTAAAATATAATACATAATATGTATAATAAATAAATGTCAATTAATAAATGTAATATATACATATAATTTTTCACCTCTCTTTTGTTCGAATTAATTTTTTTCCTTCGATTATTCGAACACTCGGTAAATCGAAAACCTCTATAAATCGAGTTTTTAGCTCAGTCTCCTGAATTTCGAATTATCGAGTGACTAATACAGTAGTCACTGTATTAAGTACAAAATTACATATTAAACAAAATTATATTATATTGTGTCAGTTATCATAGATAATAACAGCTGTATGGTGATCACACACTTTGATAAACGGTCAACTAAATTACCGGGGACTATGATATTATGACCCAAGGGGATCTAGTTGGCCAGTGACCTACGTGACGTAGTGTGGCGAATGAGCACGACGAAATATGTTCTCCAAAGAAAAATGTATGTATATTTTTATTTATTTGTTATCACTGATACAATTTTTCATAAAATAAATCATAATTTTTGTTTCTTAATAAAATACCCATTACTTATATACAAATTGTCTTGGTCTAAAAATTCTCGGGGGGGGAGAATTGCTCCCATCACCTCCCTCAAATACGCTTCTGGGGATGAGATACTCCCCTAGACCCCACTTGGGGTCGGCCCTGCTATTACCTGCCCAGCACTCTCACTAGCTCTGATTTGCGTACCTCTTTCCGGCACTTGGTTTGATAACGTTTCATCGGAGATATGTTCGCTCGATTTCTATGCGTGCGGTTTCGCCACCGCTGTCATTTAGCATAATTTACCTCGCGTTCAAGGAGGAACTAGACGTTTGTTTTAAATTTGCATTCAGAAATAAACGCTTTAGATGTGATTCCCCTCCCCCTTTTAGATAGCCCTGTAAATCACACAAAACATTTCCATGTAGACGAAATGAAATATTAAATGTTAATATTTTCATATAAAGTCTTACCACAACGTTTATTGATATCGATTGGATATAAAGTATCTGCATCAAAACAATAATCATACAATATATTTTGTACTATACCAATTTTATTTAATTACATATTTACTATTATCATGTATAATTGACAGCATTCGTCTAATAATATGTTTGCTTCGTACATACACACATTTTATTAATACTATTTTATATTATACGTATACATAGAGAAATACATGTAATGTATGTAATTTCGTCATGTATTCACTTACGGTTAGTGGTAAAGACAGGATGATGCAATGATTCGATATTTTCCTGTGTAATATTATATTGTGTTTGTTTCGTCGTGTTCGAATCGATTTAAACGCAGTGTTGGTTCATATGAACAAAACAGACTAATTCGTTGAGTAGCAGTGAGATTATAGTTTTTGTTGGATTTTTGACGATTTAAGACGAACGTGTTTTGTTCCTCTTAATCATTTATCCTATTCAGTTTTACGACATCCACTGTACTATTTTATGAATAATCAATCTATCAATGAATATAAACATATCAGAACTGTCATAGTTTAAACATTATTTATATTCAAATTATTGTAGTTATCATTTTCCCCCCGTAATGTATCATGTGTAATTATTTTTATTATAATTACTATCAATATAATTTTATATTTGTTCGTTGGCATTAAGATTAAAGGCCATTAAAATACGACCATTTGGAAATATACAAAGCGCTGTGTGTTCGTTATTTTTGACTAATTTTAATCAAATCCATTTCACCGATTTCTCTTTGTATGTAAATCGTTTTCTATATATACAAAAAGAAAAAAATGCGAAAATGCTTGACTAAGTTTTGTTATCTTTCGCAGTGTCTGGTGTAAAAATGTATACAAGAAGTGACCTCGGGTTGTATATATTTATAGAAACTAGCGTTACGAGACGGAATGAAATATAAATTGGTTTTTATCAACACGTTTAAAAATTATAAGATCTGTTTTCGAAAAAAAAAAAATAAATAAATAAATCCAACAAAAAACCGAGGATCAAGCACGTACTCTCTACGACGCGAATACATATTAATAAACTTGATTTGAGTAACATTGTTTGCCCGTGCGTTAAGAGTTAATTTTTGAATATTTCATTGTACGCACCATTATAGTCGTCGCTACTGTATATGGGTTGGTTCATTCCATTGTGTACGTAAACATAATAAAAGCAGCGTTATGGTCAACGGAACGACACAACGTTATTCGTTTTTAAATATTTATTGTGCAAAAGGTCTGGGAAGAGAGAAAGAGAGAAAAAAAATTATGAATCGTAATAATAATTATAGCCTATCGAAAATGCTCCTGCTCATTTTTTATTGAACATGGGCGTAACTGTGTATACAGTTATATCGTATTTTATAGCAATTGTTTAAAAAAGAAAAAAAAAATGATTTGAAAATAATTTCACCCCGATTAAACGCGTATGTATCCAAAGTGTCCCACGAGGATTAACTTATTGTGAATATCTGTTGTGTGAATAAAAGCCTTAATAAAAGCCGAAATTTTATTTTTATAAACAAAACTAATTAACAATAATAATTATTAAGGATTACAATTATTGTAATTCTTCAGTTTTTAAATAAAAGCATATTGTTATCATTATTTTTTTTTATTAAGAAATTATCATCGGATCAAATAAATACAAATATTAAAAGAAAGAAATGTTTTAAAGATATTTGTCATGAACTTAATACCTTTTGTCACACGATACCGGAGTCATTGCTTATGTATCTGTAACATGATATGTAAGCATGGTTATTATATGCAAAACAACCACGATCGTTACCTGTTCTCAAAACCGAATACATAACGCCAAAAATATAACTGATATCTTTACTCGGATATCAAACCAGAAGAGACGAATAATATCGTAGTTCGTTAAATAACATCTGTTTGAGACATCACATATCACTATTTAGCATTATACTATTAAATACTATCGCATTTGTATAATTTTATGTTTAGGACGGAGAGAATATCGATGTCGTGTGATTTTGCTGCTTTTTGTTATTATTATTATATTTTAATATCGAACGACTGGACACGGGAAATAATAAGCCGTAAGGTAAATGCTCGCGCGCAAGTGAGTGTGTGTGTATTCTGTGCGAGTTAGCAATATTTATCTTAAGTTGTTGAAAACCAGACTAGAAAATACACGAACGTTCGTGTACGTTATCATAAATCGTAAAGTATTAAACATTTGTGTTTGCGTAAACACGATGATTATTAATATATGTCAATGTACAGTACGAGTGTATAATATTATAATGATTTACAATCAACGGACAACGGAAGCGACATCATCGATACACGTCGCGTCGTATAATAATATAACATGTTATATTAATAATAATATTTATAATAATAATTATGATATACGCCAATGATTAAACAATGATAGATAAAAACAAATAATGATAAAGACACGCGAAAACGAAGAACGGCAGTCGGCCCTTGTGTCGAGGCGGTGATCCGCAATGGTTGCGCGTCTTCGGCCATCACCTGTCGTCCGAACACGGTTCGTCGAGCGGCTCGCTGTTCGAGTACTGGAGAAGTCGCAAGCTGCGCGTACTGCACTCATCAGAGCCCGCGGCACCAGTGCCCGAGTCGCCACCGGCCAACATTATGCAGCCGTACCGGTTGCGCGGCGACGGGCACTGGCTGCTGGCGCCCAGCTGCGAGCCGTCCGACCCTTTGCGACGGCCGTAGTCGGCCACGGTTAGGCCACCGCCGCCGCCGCCCATGCCGGCGGCCGAGTCACCGGCCGAGCCCCAGCAGCACCATCGGCATATGATGCGCTTGAACGCGAACCGGAAGTCCTTGCTGAAAAGCGCATAGATCATCGGGTTGATGGCGCTGTTGCAGTAGCCCAGCCAGAACATGACGGAGAAAAGCGTGGGCTGTATACACGTAGGGCAGAACGCCCGGACCAGGTACATGGTGAAGAACGGTAGCCAGCACACGATGAACCCGCCCACGATGATGCCCAGCGTCTTGGCCGCCTTGGTCTCCATCCGGAACCGCTTCACCTGCGCCTTGATGTTCCGCTTGCCGCCGCCCATCATTTTCGACGTGAACTTGGACTTGCTGTTGGCTACCAACGCCGAGGACGAGCCGCTCGCTGCACCGACGGGCGTGTGGTGGCCACCACCGTCCGTGTTGCCGGTGGATCCGTCGTACGACGGCGACGGCGACAGTTGTTCCTTGCACGTGGCCGAAGCGGAAGCGGGCCGGCCGCCCAGCAGATGATGATTGTTCTGGTGGTTGTGCTGCTGCTGGTGGTGGTGGTGGTGCAGATGATGGTCGCCCGTGGACGACGACGTGAGCAGCAGTCGCGAGTGCGGTGACGCCGTGTCACCAGCGCTACACCGGCGGTGTTCCTTCCGACTTCCGCCACCGCCGGACACGCGCAACTGGCACGACGACGGGTCGGTGACGGCGCGCACCGTGGCTCGCTGGTGCTGATACGTTTCGGTCGCGGTGTAGTGGACGGCGTACAGGGGGCTCGAGCTGGTCGGCGACGTGGTGGACGAGAACGAACTGCGCGACTTTTGGCTGAGCGTTTCGGGCGGCGAGTTGCCGTTCGCGTCCGCGGTCGCCGCCGCAGCCGCAGCAGCCGCAGCCGCCGCAGCCGCCGCTACCACCGCCGCCGCAGCCGCGGTGGCCGCCGCGGCGTCCGTGGTCGTGGGCTTTTCGTTGGTCGCGGTCGTGGTGGCGCTTATGCAGTCCGAGCTTGGGTAGCTGACGCTGATCTTGATCCGTTCGTGGTTGCTGCGCCGCACCGACGGCCGCCGGCTGTTGGACGGCCTGTTCACGTCCGGCGACGACGACCCGTTAACGGGCACGGCCACGGCCGCGGGGGGCTGCTTGAGAGACGAGCCACGGCCGCGGTGTATGCGCAACGTGAGCCGCTGCTCATCGAACCGGTTGCCGAACGTGCGGCGGCTGCGCATTGTTCGGAAGCCCTGGTTGATGGCGCGCGTCGTGTGCACGGCCGCCTTGTAGATGCGCCAGTAGAAGAACAGCATGACAAACATCGGAATGTAAAAGGAGCCCAGCGCGGAGTACACCACGTACCATTTGTTGTTGGGCAGCTCGCATATCCACGGGCACGGCGGCAGCGTCTCGTGCTGCGGCCGGCTCGTCTCGTTCCGGTACAGCTGGTTCCGGATCAGCACGGTGGACGCCTCCGTCGGGATGTGCGTGTCCCGCCAGCCGACCAACGGCGGCAGGCATATGACGAAGCTCAGCACCCACACGATCACCACCAGCACCTTGGCCCGGAAACTGGTCATCAGGCTCGGGTACTGCACCGGCCGCGTCACCGCCAGGTACCGGTCCAGCGATATGGCGCACAGGTTCAGGATGCTGGCCGTGCACATCCACACGTCTACGGCTAACCACACGGAGCATAGGTAATCGCCGAACAGCCACACCTGCGCAACAAAAAACGGTAATCGTATCATTATCAGGTAATCGAAATTGAAATCGCGTTCGTGTTTCGTGAGTTAGGTTAGTTACGCATCACTAAGTGAGTCGACATGTACGGTCGCTCAGTGACGTGATTTGAGCACGATTACGTCAAGGGGACCCACCATCGAATAATAATAATAATAATATATGACAGAATAACATTAAAATATATGTTGCGGAAAATTAATTTTTTGCTCTTCCTTACAAATTTTCACGTTAAGGCACTAATGTGCCTATGTGTAATGGTTATAATCATAACGTTTATAGTGTAATAATATCAGCTTTATTTTGTTTTAGCGCGTGAGTTCGAGTAGGTAAATCGTAAGCGTAAAAGGAAATATCATAAGTCGTAGTGAGAAGGGACGACTAAAATGGCAGTATAAAATCTTTATGCTTCGACGACTGTACAATAGTATCGCAATGAAATGTTGCCATACTAGTTTAATAATATTTACTCGTTGCTTCCTCAAAATAAGACCATCACTTTTATAATTTTTGTTTGAATACTTCTAAGAAGTATATTTTATAAATTTTATAAAACAGATACATGAACTCTTCAAAGGTACTATGAGGGGACAGAGTACAAGTATGTGCTTTATCTGTTACAATTTCAATTACGGTGATAGTATTATACATTATTTTAATAATAATGGATGGTTATTTATTTCATAATATTTAATGAGATCAATCGATTCGTGGATTTGTTGTTAATTTTAAGTTTTGGCATAGCATCGGAAACTGTCATCATTATAAAGTATATGTATTGGATTTATTATTTACAATGCACTTCAGAGGTTTTGAGTATCATTTAAAGTTCAAACGTTAAAAATATACTCACCGGCTAACCTGAGAAACCCACATCAGTAACAAACGAAACACCCTAAACAACAGATTTCGACAACTTCAACTTTTACTCAGTTCAAAGCGTTTCAAACTAAATAACGAAACACTACTCAAATCCATATGGACCTATGAGATCCAACTCTAAGGCTCATTCAAACTATCCAATTTAAATTGTATTATTAATTTAAAGGCTTTCGTTAAATCTCCAAAGATCCATTCTATATCTCCAACCAACCGCTGTATAAAAATCTCTCTATCCCTCTTTTTAAAAAAGTTGAAGAAACTTCACATAAAATATTCCACACCCATCCATATAACCATCCAAACCTACTCATTACTGATCTATTCGTTCGTAATATTTTCGGTGCCCCGGAAGGTGAATTAAGAGCAAGTAGTGTCATGATTTTCTGGCTGAATAATGAAAACTTACTAGATACGCTGAAGTACCATTTATGGGTTGCTCTTTAACCGCAATTTTTAGCACCTCCTTACGTTAATTGTAAATACTATTTAAAGATAGTGCAAATAAAAAAAAATAATAATAACATAAAATATATTCATCACATAGATAGATCAAGAAACATAAAATGCATATATTTCTTAAAACTATAGTTCGAAGAAAAAATGTTGATTATTTGAAGTGAATATTTGAGGCGATTATGGAACGTGACACAATCATTACGGAAACTATCATTACTATATTTATAATTGTTGTGATGACGGTACATCGACTTGTTATTACCACAGATTTTGTCTGTACAGATATCTGTGGTTCTATCATGATTCGCGAATTTAATACACATATTTATTAAAAATAAAAAATAAAAAAATCTTTTGAAACAATATATGACCATGTATTCAAATTGTACATGCAATGTCGAGGGAATACACGAGTGCTGTTTGTCGCAACTCGAGAACTTGCAAATCAGATGGAATAATGTCAAACACATCGACGAATACATGATAGAAGAATAACAAAACTTTTCATTTAGCCAAAGATATTTATCCGAAACGTTATTTGTCAATGATCAGTCAGTTTTCTGTATCGAAAACTTTAGCAGACTCTCTACACAATTTGCCGCCACTGTCACGTCACACCTCCGGAACGCGACACAAAAGAAAGAAGGTGACGGTGGCGAACGGTTGATTGAACAAAAAAGTTACTGAAATAGCTATAAGACGTTTACATCCTGATATCAGACGTTCTGTCATAACTATACTGTATATATATATATATATATATTATATACACACGATATTCGTACGTGTTCTGTACGATGGCACGAGAATAAAAGTTGTAAAACATTTTTTCGTCCTGTATACATTATAGTTTTTTCAATATTTCTTTCTCTCTTGCGCAATTATTTTACTTCAAATCATCGGCGTCGACAATCACGTGCGATTGTCGCGTTTTGTCACATACACAATACATACGCCATATTATTTCGCTATCCGTGGTGGCCTGTTAGAATCCAAGTTGCACGTAAATAATTGGGATAATAAAATATTTGATGATATCTAGAATTTGTGAATGCTTTCGAAGAATAACATGACTCTAGGTTCTAACGTGTTTACTCTGTGTAACATTCCACAACAATAATATTGTGGTAACCGATTAGGATATTATTATATTTATTAATGGTAATTTATCATCGAGCCAAATGGTCAAAAATTATTGTATTTGGTGTACACCTCGATGCAATAAACTAATGATGGAAAAATCTAATACATTTTGACGAGAAATACAAAATGTCTTCTACAACGTTCACCTCTGATACTTCCGTGCTATGTTGCCTGGTATTACGGGATATTTCTTCCTAAACCGTGCTTTGAACTATCCATCAAAAATCCGTTAAAAGTACGTTTTGTTCTCGTGGCTGCTCGTATTAAATCTCACTCATTAGACCTGCATTTTTTATAACTGTTATTATTTTTGGACGAAACACATGGGCTTTAATAGTAGTAACATTAACTAATTTCATCATGAAAAACAGTTGTTTTACAATGATATCTGAATTTTTTAGATAAAAACTATGAGCACCACCGGAGGGTTAAACAATTCTAAAATTTCAGTAAAAATTTTATAGTACGGTTGCGTTGGCTACGAACTAATCATAGATGAATTTTAATACGTGTAACTAATGTTTAAAAAACTAATTCAATGTTCAATTTTATTTTTCTTTCCAGCTCATTATTGTATAATATTTATTCTATAATCATTATTGTAATCGCATTCGATAAAGTAGGTACTGCACGTTTTATTAGAAATTATTATTTTTATGACTTTTGATAAAAAAATTATTTAAGTTTAATAAAACCGTTGCATTTATATAATTACATTTTAAATAAGCTAACTTAAATTTGATTTTACTCTTCTACTCGGAAAAAGTATTTTTTAAACACCCAAAATAAGACAGCCAGGAATCAGTTTCAACTGTTTTTAATTTTACGTAGAGAAAAATATATTAATTTTAATTTAATTAAAAAAAACAAATCTCCACATTTTGTATGATTTAGCATTTTTTTTTTCATACTTGTATTTTTATTGCGTAAAATTTTAAACTATGTTGACGCCTATTGACATTATACAAACATTTTATCTTCCACTAGGCTCATAATGAAAATTAAAAAAAAAACAAGAAAACTATTTTATTCATATATGGGTTCCACTAGTTTCTTATAATTATATTTATTTTTATCTGATTAGGAAATACTTATCAAAATTTTCTAATCATGTGATGTTATTTAGTTTACCACTCATTTTAGTATATTAGTTTATATTTTTAACGTATTTATTCCATTAAAATTTTAATTTTCTTATTTCTAACAAATCCATAGCAATATTCACTAGTATTCATAATAAACTTAATACGAATATATGACATCATATACTTATATATTATTATATGACTCTTAAAATAATCGATTAATTATATCCAACCATGACAAGGTAAAAATGTTGAGCACAAATTAATAGTTTTTTGAAAATTTATTATTTATAGGTGGAATAAAACACTAAAATAAGTATTTATAATGTTCTTATAAAATTTAGAAAGAGACACAGTATTTTTAATTATATTTAATTATTAATTAATTCCGATGAACCAAAAAATAAAATAATTTAAATAAAATATTTTATGCTCTATATTGAAATAAAAATAGTGTTGAAGTACCAAAATCATGTGTGACATATGTCATATTATAAATCATATCAAGTTGTGTTTACTAAATTCATAAATTATTAACCATGGGCTTTAGTGCTCACTAAAGCCCATGGTTGCTAAAATGTATCAACTGTGTAATAAATTATAGTTACCAAAAACTAAATGGTATTATTAATTTTACCAATTTTTTTAATAAGATAATTGTATAAAACCTAATGTACTCACGTATATAACGTGTATATAACGTATATAAACGTGGCTGGGAAACGCGTGGAGATTTGATGGAGGTGTATTAAAGAATGTTTTGATTGGAAAAATTAATAAAAACCGTCCAATCGGAAGACCAAAAACTAAATTGAAAGATAACGTAGAAAAATATATGAAATTCATATATGGGAATGCAACGTTAGACTAGACTTTAAACAAAGAAAAATGGAAAGGTTTACTAGTTGCAGCACAGATTCTTAATGGACCGTTAAAATGTTGTAGAAAAAGTTGTATAAATCATCTGATAATTTAACTTAATTTAAATTAAATAATTAAAATGAGAATGAATAATTTATTAGATATATATATCAATATTATTTCACTTTACCAATTAACTTTGATGCATTATTATAATTGAAAGCCTATAGATGATATTGAGTTGAAGTATGACAAACATTTGGTATTTGTCAACTCTAAATAGAATCTATAATTGAACTGTTTAATAATTAAACAAAATAATAATAATAATTACAATTATTGTACTATACAATTTTATACATTTTAATGAAATTGGTTTATTATTACTTATGATAATAGTATTATTATTTGCATAAATTAATTTAATATTTATTGAAATATTAATTGAAGTATAATATTCTATCGTAAGAAATGATCGTTTCATTAAACCGACTAATTATTTTTTCTTGCATAAATATAACAAAAATAATTTTTGTCATTTTGAAATTAAC